AATTTTTGTTTTAAAAATGAATATTCATCTCCTGTAACAATAAAAAGTATTAAAAATGTATTTTATTTTTTTTTACTTTTGTGAGTTAATTTGTATTTTTTTATGTTTAATTAGGATCTCTTATTTCAATTTAAAATAAAAACGTGTACTTAGAGATTTTTGCTTTTTAATCCGTCTTCTTTCATTTCATTTTCATGGACCAACAAGCTCATAGAATTACCACAAAGTTCCGGAGTATTCTTTAACCATTCAGCACGAGCTGCTATATCACTAAGTATTTCAAATAAAGTATCTTTTTCTCTACAAATAAAACATTTCTTGCCGATCTTTGAACTTTTTAAAAGAATGATTGAAAATTTGACAAAAATAGTCAAATTTGAAATATCTATAGTCTTTAAGTTATCAAGTAGATGACGCTTGTTACCGGACGATTTTTTGAGGTTAGTAGAATTCAACGCATTCATATAAAATCGACAGTATGTTACGGCCGTATGGAGCGCAGCGGAAGACAGATGAAGTTGGCCATGTTTGCCGCCAATTCTCCTTCCATCTATCCTCTCTGTAGCCCAAACGGCTTAAACTGTCATCTTTGAATAAAACGTAATGTCTTGAACCACCGATAGATGCCTCGCTCGTCGGTGCACTGGAGATTAATTCACCGGGTTTTGTCACTGCAATTTATTTTATCTGAACATAAGAAATAAAGATACCACAAGTACCAGAGCCATTCTAATTTGTTTTATAAATAACGGTAAAAATTTTGTTTGATTTCTAAAATTTAATAATTTTAAAAGCGTATTAGCCAAAAAACAATTGGGTATATTACACCTTTTACGCAATCTTGGGGACGTTTTTCCAGCATCTCTTGTAGCTATAAAGACAAGTTTTACTCGTTTACTATTAGGTATTTCAGTAATAAGTAACCACCAGTTTATTAAAAAAAAAAAAAAATACAAAAGATTTCAAAAATTTGACAGTGGGTATATTTTATTTATAATGATTATTTGCCTTGAATAAAGTAACAGTTGTGATATTTCATTATAGGAGCATGTTGCTTATTAGCAACAAAATATTTTCATTAACAGATAAGTGTGTCCAAAAAAATTAGAAAAGTCTTTGTTTTAATAAATTAATTTATTTCCGAATCACGCCGACAAATTAACAGATAATTGTGAACAGTAAAAATTAACTTGGATATGAACCGGAAATTTCATTCATACAAAAACAAAAATAAAAATGTATCACATACAAAGACATCTAATTTGTCTCACTATCTAAGTTTTTCATCACTAACTGTAAAACAGTGGAATTTTTTTATAAAAAAAATCAGAATAATTTAAGCTTTCGGAGTTGTAGAACTAGCTTCAGGGACTGGAGCGACAGTTGGAATTTCGGGATATTCCAATTTGGCTCCTTCTTCGCATTTGAACACTGGACAACAGTCAGGGAAGGAAGCAGTTTTATTGGTCTTTTCTTCATCAAGCTTGCATTTGGGATTGGCAAGTGGAAGTGGACCGCAGTCTTCGACGAGTTCAAGAAGACGTGGGGGTTTGTCTTCAGAGACTACGCAAGTAGAGCGGCCACAGAATGGATGCAATTCCCAGGTTTTGCCAGGTTCTATTGTGGCGCATTTTGTGCTAGCAAAGCACATTCCGGGAAAATCTGAAACCAAAGAAAACACATTATTACACAAAATTAATCAAAAAGATAAATACCTATGCATTGCAAAAATCATAAAATGTAGAGTTTTTAGAGCGAAGTCGTAGCAGTTAAAAAACAAAAACATGAATAGAATAAGAAATTATAGAAAAAAATGAACGAATTTAACTTTGTTTTTCTTCTTATTCTAAATGAGCATACATTATTAAATAAACTCTATGTAAGAAACTAATTTGACACTATACAGAGTGCGCCAGAACTCGCGCCGCCCCATGTAGGGTAAGATACCAGGAACATGGAAAAAATGTTAAAAAAATTCTATCTATAAAAATGTCGAAGTTATGAGAGTTAAAATTTTGCACTTTGTATTTATTTCTGTTGTAAAAATAACTTTTTTGCTACAGGCTATTAGAAGAAGAAACAAGGAATCTATAGCCTAAATTGTAACTCTGTTTAATGTTATTTGTGGCTTTTATTGACAAAATTTTTGTTCCTTGACTCAATATTATAAAAAAAACATATACAAGATCATCAGTAACATTAAATGGACATAAAAAATATCAAACGTCAAAAAATAGATGTCAAAATTTTTTATAACTATGAACATGAAAACCTAAATTTCTGTTATTATGGTAAAAATTAAGCAAAATTAAACATTT